AGAAACCACTTATACGACTTGTGAATATTTGTGGTTGCCACATCAGCTGAATAAAGATGAAAACATTTCCTTACAAATCTTGCTCACCTGTGAAGCTGGTTTAACATAGAGAGCTGTGAGAGCTGCTGAGTAAAGGCATAGCATGTGTTCTGAATTTTCAGATAGACAAGGCTTTTGCATAATAAGGATGCATATATATATCACCTTGTGTTTGGAAGTAAAACTGACTGGAGAAATCTTATTTTCCTGCCTACCTTTCCTGGATCCTGGGTGCCATTCTACCATTACATCTCAAACACTACCTCATCAGATCTGCTACAACCACTGTTTGAACAGGAATTTTGGTCTGTACTGGGCTACGCCCCATGATCTGGATTAAAAATAACCTTTCTAAAAATGATTATATTTACCATGGTTCATTTCACAGAGCCTGGGAACAAGGTAGTGGGAGCAGAAACACCAAGTGTTCTTCAATTCATATTTCTCATTGAATCCGATATATCATGTAGCTACACCCAGAGAAACTGGGCCAAGAAACTAAACATATTTTCCACTCGGAACATCTGCTTTCTGTTCATCAGGTTGGCGTCTTTTCTGATTTTCCTACTTACTGTAGGAAGGGGCAAGGAGCGTTTCCTTCCGTCCCCAGGCTGCAGGAGACTGCTTTTGGTCTCTGTTGGTCAATCTAGAGTTTGACTCTTGTTTCTTAAATAAAGCTGAGCCTTAAATAAAGCTGAGCTTGGATTTTGAAAAAGCATCCCCTCCACATTCAAGACCCATCTCGTGGATATTAAAAAAAATATCCATGGAGCCACAGAGGAGGCAGATTGTCTTTGCAGAAGCATCGGCCCTAGCTAGGCTGTTTGTAGAGCACTGTATATACAGTATATACTTTCACAATGAGCAGAGGAAATTTATTCATCATTTATACCCTTGACTCCCCATACGTGAGCAACTGGGAATTGGGTCTTTAAATGATTTTTGCTATAGGCTCTGGAAAGATGGGGAAAGTAACACATGTCTTGTTAAGCAGAGGAGTTGAACTGCATGACTAATAGAGATCTCTCTTGAATCCCGTGGGCCTCGGTTGATTACTGAACAGCACAGGGTACCAGGAGGAAACAGAAATGAAACAAAATAGTCAAGTGGAAAACGGAGCAGCACAAAACTCCAGCTGAGCTGGCATACAGTGTGGAAGACATCTTGAGATTTAAACAGTTCTGCACTTTGCATCTGAAAATCACTGGTGCCTGGGAAAATGAAGGAAAATGCAAAGATGTCTGTGCTTTGACTATAGGAAATTTTCATATGGTTTATGGTTTTCAGTAAATTCAGAAATAGGAGGTTGTGAAAATGTCATGCCAAAAATTGAGAAGTACTTCAAAGCACATTAAGACATCAGTGCATGAAAAACATCATTCTTCCAGAAAGTGCAAAGGGAAATTAAAACTGTAGCAGTGTATGATATCAGTGACCGATATGAGGCTGAAGATCCAGTATTGCAATTTTGGATGGCAAGATGAACCTCTCACTTAAAAAATAAAGCAAGACATAACACAAGGGTAAACAGCGATGTGGATTTTGATCACAGCTGGAATGCAGAACAAAACCCTGGAGGAGAGTGTAAGGTACAACTGAGAGCCCTAAATGTGCCAAAAAAATAAATAAGTAAATAAAAAAGCAAAAAGATCAGGCTGGCAGAGCTAACATCAGCTGAGAGGAATGCATCTCGCTGTAGAAATTATGAATCCTAGCACAAATGAGAACTGTACCTGGCTCTTGAGGAACAGGTGAAATGCAATGTCCAAAGCAACCTGTGGTGATCAAAGCAGTCGAGGTGACAGCTAGCACAGGTATGAAGTGCTGCACATCGACAAGAGGATAACTTCACCACCATCTGCTTACATTTGCCTTGATACTTGCAGCAGAAAGACAATGAATGCTCAGGCTGAAAACAAGCACATAAAAGTACTACGGTGTGTTGCCAGAGTCTGTGCTATTAGCAGAAGGCACACAAAGGAGCTACAGACTGTGAAAAAAAAGAGAATGAGAAATTTGGGTGGAAAACAAACTGGAAAATGGAAGATATTTGTGATATTATCAAAATAAAGTGTACATGTTAAGCGGGTTAGGGGTGTGTCAAGCTTTTAGTGTCATTATGGGTGCACCTATTGAATACTGACACATTCTCATATGACTTTGTGGTTTTGGCAAGGCAGAAACTGAATTTTACTTAGAGAATAAGGTCTTTTGGATCCAGATGGTTAGAGGATCAGGTATAAAGCTTTGGAAAGATTTGTAAATTGTGGGCTTCAGCAAAGCAAGCAGCTATGATAAATCTATGTGATGGAAGTCACATATATGGAAAGGTACCGGTACAAATGGATATGGTAAAGCTATCACGGTAAAGTCTGCCCTAAAATACAAATTTTCATTGGAATGATGAGCCTGAAGGAATACTTGTGCTTAATCAAGCTGACCTTAAAGGTAATCTGAATTTGCTGCTGAGCAAAGATATTCAATTAATGCTGTTCTTACCAAATGCACTGAGAAGCTGAAGGAATTAAAGATGCCCCATGACAAAATAGTATATTATTGCAGGTTTTTTATCACACCACTGTCATGCCAGAAACCAGTGATTAATGTCTCACAGTAATTAACAAAACCCCCATGTCAGAGCTGAAGGAAGTTTCGTGTTTTTATTTATGAGAAGCTGATCTTAACTCTGTTTGTTTGACTTTATTATTGCTGAGAGAAGGCTTATAACCTCCCTTCTCTCTGCTCTCCCATGAAAATAAACACCCTTTTTGCCTCTACTGAAATTATATGCCTTTCAATTAAGTGGGCAGCTGGGAGAGATTTAGTAGTTGCAGATAGGCTTTCTAAAACATTTGGCAAATACAGCAAAGTCCAAAGTTCAGCACTGTACCTGTATCAAATGATTACAACGGGCCAATCCTTTGCAATCCTGTGCTACATGTGGACTGTGATTATCAGATCTGCAGCTCCTGGTGCTTTAGGAAGGGTCCAAGGTCTTTAGCTCTAGGTGTGTAGGGAGCATGTTTCACTCCTCCCACCTGTTTATGAAGAGCTAAGTCCTAGTTAGGATTTTTTAAAATGACATAGGATTAATAAACCCTAAATGATACAAAAGAATATGTTGAAAATAGCACACTAAGGTCAGTTAGGGTTGGAAAGTAGAAGTGCTAGGGATATTTTATGTTACTTGGGAAGTCAAAGTAGGAATTACTAGGGAATTACTAGTAGGAAGTAATCCTACTAGGAGTAGGATTACTTGGGGTAGGATTGCTAGTAGGAGTAGGATTACTAGGGAAGTAGAAGTGCTAGAGATATTTTATATTATTTTATATTAAGAACAACAGGATTGAGAAAGCTTTAGGTTGTGACATTGAATACTGCAACTTTAAGTGGCTCCATGGACAGAGGAAACTTTGAGGAGAAGTATTGCCCAAACTTTTTTTCTGGTAAGCAGAACCACTTGGATTGATGTGAATGACCAAGCAAAGGATCTCTCTCAAGGACAGTGGGCGCAGAGAGGTTCCTGAGCCCCGTGGTAACTGCGTGTGACTGGTGCACATGTGGGAACCCCATGCCTGGAGTGCTGCAGCATCACCAGCTGCCGCTTGCAATATTTCGGGCTCACTGAGTTAGCTCTGTTTTAGCATCTGGGACAGACAAGATCTACAGAGTAGTGTTCAACCTGTGCAGTCATTGTAGACTTTTTCTTCGAGTTTGTGAGATTCAAGCTTGTAGCCAGTACTGAGCAATGGTGAATCAGGAGCACCTGGGCAGTCGCAGGGGCTGTATTCACATTTGTGCATTTCTGAAATATGGCATCTCGTCTGCTCTACTTCTCTCCTTGGTCAGCCTTGCTCAGGGACATATAGAATATTATTTAAAGTGTCACTTTAAAAAGAAGGAGTTGGTGTTTTTCTATGAGGGACGGTATGAATATCAGTAAGTTGCCATGACCTCACTGTGCTTGTTCTTTACTCATAGCTTTTAATTTTTCTTCATGAAACATGACCAGTGTCAAAGTTCAACAACTGCATTCTAATATAGACATTGGTAATGGACTATTTGTTACAGATATGTAGAAAATTTATTTTAGTTAAAACGTGATTTCCCCAAACTTCCCTTACTGGCTCCATTAGTCTGCTTAGCAATTAATACAGTATTCCTGTTAATTCAGGCTCCAGGCCAGCCAGGCATCCAGGGGAATGCAGCCTTTTCTTCTTCATGGATCTTCACAGCCTGTCAGTGCCAACCATGACCATTAAGTCCCTTAGATGTGCCATGCCGGGAACACCAGATGTTTGATCACCAGCAGCCTTGATGCTTTTTAATGCTGCGTCTCTCTGCCTGTTGGAACGTGCTAAGTACCTTAAAAGCATTTCAGGTGCCTAGTTTTAGGCTGCTGAGCCAGAAATTTTACAGGCAATAGGGGAGAAGTTTTACTTGGAGCTGTACAAGTTAGCTTCAAACACTGAGGATACCCAACAGATGGGCAGCAGTGTGAGCCAACATGTGTTGAGAGCAGACAGATGCCCAGAAAGCCAGTGTTTCCCCTTACTCTCTTCTCTTCAGGGAGACTAGTTAGGCTGTGAGTAGTCACGTGCTTCTTTTGTGTCTTAAATGCAAGCTCTGGGAGTACCTTCATCCTTTTTTTTTGTAGTGTCAGGCAGTAGGGAATATTCTTTTTGTCCTCTCCTTCATTGGCCCCTCGCTGTGCTGTGTCAAGAGATGAGTAGATCAAAATGTGCCGTGTAAAGTAACCTACACTGAAGGAGAGCAACTTGCAAACCTGAGATAGTTTTGTGTTTAAAACTTGCTATGAGAAGAACTGCAGCTGTTGATCATATTGCATTGGAGCTAGTATCTCCGACTGTAAGGTCAAACATTACATGTTTATGTTACATCGTGTCATGCTGCAGGAGCAGAAACCCCCATTGTGAACAACCTTCTCTCTTGTCTTGCAGAAATTCCATGGAGTTGGACTAAAAGAAACTTTTGGGATGTCTCTATTTGGATTAAAATTTGGAAAGAAGAAATTGAAAGGTGAGTAAGGTCTGGTAATACCACTATTACCAAGTAATACCTGGTAATACCATTGTCACTGATGGCAACCTAAACAATGTGAACTCAGCACGTGCACTAGACCTTGAGGACATGCTTGGGAGCAAGTCCTACACCGGTAGAGCAGCTGCAAGAAGATTACGTTCTGTTTACTTTCCCTGTATTTACTCAGGAAAGTGCTGCAGACTCTCTCAGTGAACAGGAGAACACGTCCTGAGAGGGAAACAGAAGGGATAAAGTAACCAGTAGGGCTACTGCTGTATCCCTGAGGTGGTCCAGCCTCATGCAACTCATTAGGGTCAGTCTTCATCTGTCTTGGGGTTTCACAGCAGGAGTAGCTGAGCTGGGGCTGATGTTTCCCTACTCCACCAGCAGCTCCAGGGTGCTATCAAGGTGCCATGATCACTTTTCAGGAATCACAGAATCATAGAATGCTTAAGGTTGGAAGGGAGCATGTTAGCAACTTCTGTGTTAAAAGGGAAAGTATTTCACCCTGCCTTTCCAAGGGCTCTTGTTGTTCCTCCCTGTGTAAGATGGACACAGAGGTTAGTACATATTTTGACATGATTTTTTTCCCTCCAACCTGCTTGAGCTCAGAAAACTGAGGGCAGGGGCATTCACTTGCTTTTCTGATACTCCCTCAAGAAGGGGCTGTGTCTTCTCACAGGGCACATGTCACATTGAGGTCTCCTTCTCCATCTTGGCTTTGGAGAGGAAATGTGTTGTCTGCGAGTCACTGTCCACCCAGAGCACTTCTGCTTCTAAAACCATAGTTCTTCTGATTATCGAAAAGACTCTGTTAATGTATAAGGAAAATTCTGTGTCTTGCCCTGGCTGTATCTGGGCCTTAATGGAGTGGTGTTCCATTCCTCTTCAGCCAAGTGTCTGAAAGACTGAAGCTCAGATCTTCCTAGATATAAAGAAGCATACCTTACAGGGAAAGATGTTTTATTTTCACATGTTATGTGCTTTAATCACCAGTTCAAAACCAGCAAATTCAAAGAGGAAGAAGTTCAGAGGACGGTAAGGGAGACTGGGCAGATCAGAGAACGAGAAGCTTCTATAAGAGGAAGCTAAAAGGCTTTTTTGTTTGTTTTTCTTTCTTTTTTTTTTTTTTAATCTTTTAGTCTTGCAGCCCCAAAACCAATAGGGTTATGATTGCCTTTTGCAAACATTTCACTGGAGGGCTTGCCAAGGATAAAGTGCCATTTCAGTGAAACAGTTTAGGAGCCTTTGTGCTGGGAGATACCCTTAGGCCTCCCCCGCCTCAGAGCAGATGAAGTTCCTCTGCGGGGGACACCCCACCACTCTCACACCTCCAGGGGACAGCCTTGCTCATGGAAAGGTCTAACGTCCATTCCAAAAACAAAACTGGACTAACCTTGACATTATACCACTAGTAGAGGTCTTGAATGACATTTATGGGTGCGAATAAATTACCTCAGGTGTAAACTGCTGAAAATGGGATCAGTATTCCCCCCATCAGAACAAGTAGCAAGGCATGGCTGTTTCTGCATGAACTAGGAGGTAAGGAAAATAAGGAGTTTTTTTTTCTTTTCAGGATGGATATAGTTTAACTGGAAGACTAACATGTTCTGAACTTCCTGGAGATAAGAATCAACTTTTTAGACTTTTGTCTTTACACAAGGAACAGGGATGTAATTAAAACTCAGCCTCATAAAACATTAATATATAATGCCATGGCACATACTTGCACAAAAACTGTTGAAGGAAACCAGTTTCTGGATGACTAAACCTTATGGAGGCTGATCAAGCTGAAATGGGGAAATATATGCTTTAGATAAGCAGCAGAAGTTTTTTTTTGTGGAAAAGAAGTCTGAGTGAGGTCTTTCCTGGTGAAGTTTAACATGCAAGTAAGCTTGTCTAAGCAGAGAAGAATGGGGAGATGTTCTGTTAATGGAGCATGTAGGAAGAAAGTAAGGATCAGGCAGTGACAGCAGCTAATAAACATGGCATGTTTGTGCTCATTGGCTCGACCACATGGCAACTAAACTGAGCACTGGAGCATCAGGCTGAAACAAAAGGGTGAAGATTATTGAGTACCATCTATAAAATGAGCAGCAACAGAGAACAGGGAAAATTCAGCTACGTTAATATACCTGACCTCTAGGTGCGCGCCAGGGAGGGCCCTGAAAACCGGCCTAGGGACACGGTGAGAGGAAGGGGAAGGATATGGAGGAAGCAGATGGAGCTCAGATCTTGAGGAGAGTGGACTGCACTGGGTTTTCCTTGCCACGGCTGTAGACAGTCTGCTCTCCAGGATAGCCAGGTTAGCAGCAGCCAAGCTCAGAGCAGAGCTCAGCAGGATCAAGCAGCTCCAAACGGAGCAGCCAGACTGGGAGGGGGACCGTGCCTGGCCCGCAGCCCAAGAGTGGCTCTGCTGAAGTAAAGCTTGGCTGGCTTTGGGACTCCCATGCAGATCTAACAGGAAATCTTTTATGACCACAGACACTGCGTATGAAAAATGTATTTATTTTGACATAATTTCCCATGAGGAAAATAACTGTGAATTGAAAAACTTCTCAACATTTGTTTCAGAGTTGTATTTATTTTTATGGTTTTACATCACTTCCCACCACTGTATATTGATGGTATTAACAATGTGTGCAATTATATCAAGCTGTTGCACTACCAGCGTGCCTAGGAGTTACTGCCTTCTAGTAAAGGATACGAAGAAGGGAAAGAACTTCCAGTTGGTAAAATCTTTGAAAGCACTTGTTTTCATCCTAAAGTGGATGAAAACAAGCGTGTGAACAAGCAGCTTTTCCTTAAGGAGGAGTTTGTTGCAAGACATTTCTGAGGCATGGTGAATTCCACCTTGCTGAGTGCCTGGACAAGGGATGAGTGAAACATCCTGGGCAGGAAGAAGGAAAGGACGAACCAGGATGTAGGTATCACAGGTGAAGGAGGAAGGGAGAGCTGGAGAGCCTCTGTCCTTGCCATAAAAACTGAATAAGAAGTATTTTTAATTTTAAGCTTCTCTAGCACATTCCAGGTCTGAGTCACCAAGATCCTGTTTGGCCACATATATAATACCTGTTGGGGGGAACCAATGCATCCTTTTGGAGACCTCTTTCCTGTCACAGTTCTCTCTCTTCTTACGGTGGTAATATGAAATGCTGCAGGATCCTATACTGAATTTTATCTTCAGGTTAAATATTTACTGGACCTGAGAGGGAAATAATGCCAGTCCACTCTCAAAATCTGTTATTTCAGACATTTTTTTTTTTCTCCTGGGTTGCAATAGAGTTATTTTAGGATATTTCTTGAAGAGGTCTTGCATTAGGTGATGCAAGAGAAAATTCATTTTGCATTAATGCCTTGTGCAAGAACATGAAAATGTTTTACCTTGTTGTCAAATTCCAGTTGCGCCTTCCCTAGTACTGACAGTAGGTTTGGGTCCGTACTAGGCACAAAATAGACAATCCTTGAGCAATGAAATAAAAAACTTTTATTCATGAGGAAGGAGGATTCTAGTCCTTGCAGAGGACTCTGTTTTGTTTTTAAGTTATGGAAGGCAAAAAGATGTGATATGGAGGATCTTCATTTAAGAACAGATGATCAGACAGGAGGGAATAGGGCTAAACCTATTGATGTTGGTGTAGCTGAATAGTCTTGCCTCAGGATTTTTAAATGAAATCTCTCACACTCGGTATAAACCAGTCTGTGCCAAATCTGGAAACGTGTGTGATAAATACAGAATAAATTACAGCAGCCAGAGAGGCTCCATAGAGGAATGGGCATTTGGCGCTTTAAAAATGTTCAGTTTTTTTATAACACAGCGACCTTGGGAGGCTTTCCGTTGAGTCAACAATATAAAATACGCTTGTTTGCCAGGCACCTGTGCATGCACCAGCTCTGAGCAGGACTTGACTTTAATCTTCACCTTTGCACTTCCGTCCTGCTTGGTTCTTAGGTGTCCTTCTGCCACATACACTGCACCATATCAGACTTTGGATGCATTTCAAGTCACGGATGGGCTTTGGTTTGGTACTGTAGAGCAGCTGGCACGCCTTAGCACCCGACAGTTACAGTATTAGACTGATACGTGGGTAATGATGGTACCGTTCTGTCTGTGCGCCCTGTGAGCCTTAGGCCTCCTCAAATATATTGTGTCTTCACCATGTGTTCTGTGATCTTTATTAAAATTGTGAGCTGTAAAAAATCGGTAAAGATCCTTTATACATACATATATGTATATATAAAAGAACCTTTTTATGTATTCATACATATATGTGTATATGTCTAGCACCTGCTCAATATAGTTCTGACCCCCACTGCTGTTTTGTAAATTTGAAGTCCTGTGGTGTTGCTGCTGTGAGAATGGTGCTTGTTCAGTTGAACCCAGCTATAGGGGCGCTCTCAGTACAATACCTGCAAGTCAAGAAACTTGTTGCATGGTTCTTTTATGGCTTGTGATTGCACAAGGGAGCAGTTATTGCCCTCACACAAAGGGAGACTTTGGCTAATAGTTTGCATAATAACCTCTGTAGCAGCAACAATTTAAATTCTCTAATACAGTACAGACTTGCCCTCTCGCATGCAGTTGTCCTTTGGTGGACACTGTAATTTTCCTTTTTTGGGATGAGGGACAGAGGTACCAGCACACCATGGCAAATTTCTGTTACTTGCCCCCATGGAGTAGCAGTTGGGTAGCACAGGCCAGAAATAAGGGACAGTTCTCTGCCTGTGAAGAGGTGGGTGAGCTCCTGTGTGCCACATGCCCAGCGGCACTTCTGCCATCCCTGAGAGGTGCAGCAAGGACCTGGGTCACATGGTGCCCCAACAGCACACGCAATGCCCAAAAGTAGGATCCATAGATGCAGCGGGGAGATGAGTCATGGTGGGAGGAGGCTCATCTGTGACATTTGGAAATGTGCTGCATGGTGGAGGCCCTGTGAGGCTGCTTATAGCCTCATGGATGTGGGGGAGACCTAGGTCACTGCTGCCTGAGAGGTAGG